GGTGGCTTTATTTGGGCGATAAAGCATGCTGCGTTCTTTTCGAGGTCATTCTAGGAACAATATAATTACTAAGTTTCGGTTTAGAAACCAGCACATTTTATTGATATTTCTAAATAGTCTGACTCTTTCAAATACAGTTTTTCTTGATCAAATGCTTTGAAAGATTAATGCCAGCTGCACTTATCGACATTCGAAATTCTTGATTACACTTGAAATATGTGTAAACACTTAATAAGCATCATAAGTAGCTACTAATTGCTTTGTCATACTTAATATACCTATAACACTGTTAGTATTGTCCTCTTCTACAATGTCTGCAATGTCGGTGGCATTGTTCTGGTTTGCATAAATATTATAGCATACCATTTATACAAGACAACCTTAAAAGGTCTGGACGATTTAGAAACAAAAAAATAGCACTTCCTTAAATTATAGTCGAATATAATAATAATAATAATTTTTTTTACTCATCAACTGATTTCCGAGAGATTGTAAAATTCTCGCAGATTTCTAAGGATTACTTGTATTACGAAGAGTATCTCAGCCTTGACGGACTCTCACACTTGAGGTTGCAATCACTAGCAGCTTAATGAGTGCTTTGTTACTTCGTTGATATCTGATTGTGAATAACCGCTGTAAACTTCCGTTATCATCATGCGTGGGTATGCATAAAGAAATATTGTCAGAATACATGTGTACTTATGGTACCACAACGTAGAATAGCTTTTCTGGATAGTTTCAAATACTCGGCCTCAAAGTGGTGGAATAATATTACACCACCTCTATAGGTGGTGGAATTGATGAATGGAATTGCGTACCTATGTACGCAACGAGATATCGAAACCCAAATTCAAAGCAATGTACCGGCAACAGCTACTTTCACTACAAAAAGCTGTGTAGTGTGTTTGTATTCTTTTCTGTCTATAATTATGTATTATTTTCACATTATATACCTACATTGTACATACTAAATACATTATACAACACATCGAGTATATAACCAAATAGAGACGAAATAAGGGCCATACATGGTGATACATCACTTACAAATATCAAATCTCGTTTGCACTGAAATATAGACAGCGCCAACAACAGACCTGTGTGTACGTCTCCGTATATTCCAAAAATATTCTGTATTGTAATAAAGATAATATCTCTAAAAATGGCGTGCTGTTCCATTCGGTGGTGTGGGGAAAAACAGCAAAAGTTCTAATCACAAAACAAACGGAATCAAATTTCAAAGGTAATTAAATGTTAAATATGTAATTTTGCAATTTGCGTCCATTCTAGCAAAGCTCAAGTTAACTGCTCGATTTGAAGTGAAAAAATTGACGACATCCGTCAATTGTTTCGAATTCAGTCTGGCCAGTCGAAGCGCAGTTGTCACCGTAATGATATGGAAGAATAGTTTTCAAACAAATTAAATGACAATTTGTCTCTATTTCTGGTTGTATACTCGGTGATACAACATTAAAACCTATTTACAATCACAATTTACTCCCAGGCTGTACTTATATTTTCACTCGCCCTTGTATTTACATATCAAAGAGGTTATTTTAGATGCACTATTTACATTGTATATATATTATTTCAATGTATAACTTTACTCAATGCGTACCTGATCAATAAATAACGGAACTTTCTTATCGAAGTAGTAGAAGATACCCTCAGAATTCAACCAGTAGGGCTCAGCAATCCCGCAGTTGTCGGCCTCCTTTGTCACGTAGGAGTAGTCGGCAAGGACAAGCTTCTCAATCGGCCAGTATTGGCGCTTTTGTTGAGGACCTCCGTACCAGTGACTCGAGCCTGAACATAAACAAAAATGTTTATATAAATCTCCAGAAAGGAAACGAAAATATAATAAAGGAAAAATTTAAGATAATGATAGATAGATAAGTTTTCATTAATATGGGAAAAGTGCAGACAAAATACAGAAACCAAAAAAATTTTGTCATAGGAGTGAAGGTCAATGAGATTTAAAGTTGCATGACAGTTTTTGTTTGTAGCAACAACAATTGCATGAAAAATAATAACTATGTAGTAGTCCAGGCTGTCAACGCTAAATTGTACACCTTCGGTATTAATAACCATAAAACATTCAAGAATGATTCCAACTGTTCGTCTGATATTAAGTTTTTGTGGTACAAGATTGTCTGGTGTAATGGTGTATGTTAGGTGGTGGTTTTTAGCCACGGAAGAAAAACAAGTTATGGAAGTGCCTTCAGCCTCGATTACTATCAGAACCGCGGTCACCAAAACTCACAAATAAATGGTAAACACTATGAAATCTTGATAATGATTAGTTTCAAATTTAAAAAGAAATAACAAATTCTGGACTAGTAATATAGTTTAAACTTTACTCTGTTGACATATCGTTGAAAGTTTATTACCATCGATACCTATTATTGCATGTTACGTTTCTGTGCTGCCATCTAGCTGTTAACAGCTGAACGACTTCAAATTCGAGGATTTTACTAAGTTCTCCAAAAAAGAAGCGACCGTATTGCAGCGGTATTAGGTTTACTTTCGTTCCTTGTAAGATAAAAATGATGGCGATAAACAGAAAATTGATAATTAATTAAAATGAATTAAAATAAGGCCTAATGATGATACGAAACATCACCATCCAAATAGTCCAAATTTGCAGAACTCCGCGAATTGTTAAACTACGCACTGTACTGTATTTATCGTTCTGTGTTTTAGCCATAGTACGCCAAGAAGTACCTTTTGGCGGACCACAACAAATTTACATATGAGTCATCTTATAATGGTCGGTTGATAGGCGGTGGCATCAGCGTGCTGATTTTGATTCAGATGGGTTTCTGAGCGAGAAGATGAACCTGATTTCTACTATATCTTTCTTATTTAATTTACACACATAATTAGATGTATAATTACATACACACACACACTTACACACCCAAATTTACAAATACACAATCAATTACTAACCAAACTAACACTGCATAAACAGCTTTTTTTTTAATTCTTTTATGTTCCTTCGTAAAACCTTAATATATAGATAGGTTAGTTACTACAATTGTCAATGTACTAGTACATATTTCAAAATAACAAGTATCTTCCAAGGGGTGTACTCCTGGTGACCTGAAATACAGATCATACGTCTAGTTTAGGCACCAGTCTCCCACAGTATAATTTATTGTTTTATGTATTTTATTTTGGATATTATGCCAATGTATTTTGTATATTGTGGTGAGAAATAAACTTATTATTATTATTATTATTTGTGAGATAAATCAACGATTGTTCCGATTTGAAATGTCAAAAGTTTCCGATCGGTCAGTTGTGAATAGCAATTATGCGCCTTGACTCGGAAAAGACGTAGTTTCCGATCGGAGAGGCAATCACAATCAAGCTGCGGGACCAGAATAATAGTGTGCGACTGGAAAAATAGATCACTTTTATAACTCGTTCGCAGTATCTTATATAACCTAATGAAGGTCCCACATAGTCCCTTGCTCTTATATGTCGGCGCTTAAACGCCGTTAAGTTACCAATGGTCAAATATCCGTTTTAAATAGAGCACAAAATTTTCTTTTAAAAACAGTTAAAATTAGTTAACGTGTCTGACTTATCGGAACCTGTTAAATGATATTACAGCTATGCATCGTTAGGGTTAATGATGCTAGCTGAAATATCAATTTAATATTCTAAAACTGGGTTATTGTTTTTTATGATACCTATCTTAAAACAATATTTTGTCACTTTGCCGCATTTTAGTTAGCGAAAGGCAGAAGTATTCAACTTACCAAGGTTAACACAGTCCTCGAGTCTCACACTCTTTGGAGCTTCCCAAGTGAAAGTAATGACCTGTCCATTCTGTTCACCGACGACTTCCTCAGTGCTAATCCTGACCGTGGTGTCATTGGAGAACTGAATGACCACGTCTCCGTCCTGCACTACGTCTTTGATAGCGCCTGCTCGTCTTCCGATTACCGCTATCACTTCAGTTACTTGCTCTATGTGGACAAGAATATAATATTTTACTTTAAAGTTGAAAGAATAGTTTTGTAATTTTTCCTTGTTATTGTGAGAAAAAAAAGGGACGTCATAATTCATTTATATATGATACCGGCATCAGTTTGTCATCATGTGTATCAGATCTGCTTGAGTACGATAGATAAATTTAGCAAAAACAAAAAAGGGATATGTCTAGCAGTAGGACTGAAGCAGGTAGGTACAAGAGACAGAATGTGAAAACAAGAAGGATGTTTAGATTTAGATATTTTAGAGGTGTAATTACAGCGCTTACTTCTTGTCATCAGGATATTGAGCCCTCCATAAGGATTGTTTTCCATTCGCACTTTAAGTCCTCGCGCGTTGAGCAGATCGATGTCCACGGCCTGCGCGCACGCAGACAGCGCTAGGAGCACTGCGCAATACAAGGGAAACGGGGTTAAAATTGGTTAGGAACTTACTTACACATCTGCCTCCAAGATGATGTTTTACAAGTTCTTTCTACGCTATACTTGGCATTTGAAGATTACAGTAACAATGTACCGAGATGCGATTAAGAAGATGAAGCTGCGAAGGACGAACCTTCTTGAATTGGATCCAGCGCTTGTCAAACATATCGAGGAGTCCGACGCAAAACCCAACAAGTGTATGAATTTTCGTTAAATGAGGTTTCGAAGTCGTTATAGTGTACTTTTCGGTACTTGACAGAGGTCCCGAGATTGCGTGAGAATTCTACGGGCGCACGAACTGTTTTTTTTTGGTTTGTGTCTAGTTTGTACGTTACACAATTAAAAACATTTGCGATGATTTTTTGTGTAAATAATGTACGGCAAATCGCGTGGTTGAACGTGTCATTATGTTTTTTTTTTCATCGAAAGAAAAAGTTAGGTGCACCACCGTACATGCATCGTCAAGTTCGAATTTCAAAGACTCCACTGAGATTGCAATTATGATAATTCATAGAGTGTCAGTGCAATGGCAGTGATGGTATTCCTTGTCGTTTAATTAGCTATAAAATTCCGGTGTCAATGGTAATTCAAGGGCACGAAACCATGGAAAGAAACGTCAAATAATTAGCAGTCTATCGCTACCGACGATCGCCCTCGACTCGCCATTGTGAAGCAGAATACCAAAAAATGTCCACGCTTGTAGCATATATTAATTTACCCGGAAGTATGGAATATCCTCCACAATACTTATAATCATGTAATGGAACATCGGAGTCGGCCCCATTGACAATTTCTTAGAAAAAAAACCATGAGAAGCTATTGTACAAGAGACGGTTCTTTTATTCTTATATTAATTGCACAGTGCTAGCGTTAATTTCTGTTATGATAGCGTAATCGGTCGTTAAAAGTTATTGCTTGTTCAATTATAATCTGAATGACTTTGTAAGTGAAATTGAAAATGTTTGCAGTTCCGCGTACACGCGTAAAGTGAGCTAGTATCCTCATCTGCGGATAATCTATATAATTTAAAATATCCGCATTAGCATCCACACTCATGCTGATTTTCATTGCGGCTGTTTGATTCGTGACATAATTTACAAACGCTGGAATAATTTACAAACCTTCCAGAAACAGGCTGTAAGCCGAAAAAGCAGCTCGACTCTTGTTTTTGAAATATATAACATTGATAAAATTCCACAACGGTTACGTTAGGCAGATTGTTTTTCTGCGGCTTGATTATTTTGTTAACAATAATAAATGTCACAAAATCATTGAAATAATATCGAGTTTTTAGGATTTCGCGATTGTTACACATTGGAAATGAAACTATATTTTCCGGAATCAAATCGCGTATATTTCTTTTTTCATACAAACCGACGTTTCAAGCCCTTTACAGGTGCCATGGTCACGGTTGACTGAGCTGGTAAAGTCATGGGGCCTATAAAGGGCCCGAAACGTTGGTTTGTTTGAAAAAAA